AATAATTGAGGGGATAACGGACGCTGCGCCGTAGTTTTGAGATTGTCATTTTCATGCAACGAGGCATCATCAGCCTCCACCAAACCTCTGTGGGAGCCCCTTGAAATTAATGATGTGCGCTTCATAAGCTCACTTTAGCTATGAAATGCCACCTTACCTAACTGAGAGAAACTTCGTCTTAACAAGCTTTTTTGTTATCTTAAGAAGTTAAACTTTGTGGGGTTGATCTTAATATGCTTCTAGTTGCTTCAACTTTAATATTTTTTGTTGACCTGTGAACCTCGGGCTGGATTTTGCTTCGATAAGGTTTGTATAACGATTGCTATATTTGTTGAACATTAAATGGTCGGGCCAAAAAAAAAAGAAAGAAAAAATTTCTTGGCGTTTTTCTTCTTTTAACTTTTACAAACAGTATCATAGTCTAGTTTTAAACATGAGTCTTTTTACAATAGTGCCTTCACATTTAAACAAAATGCTTCCAGCCCCAAAACACAAGAAAACGTGCTCCCCCCTCCCCAAAAGACTTTTTCAACGAGTGTTTTGCTCCCAGAATCGCCCGCGATTTTCTTCCAGGCCCCAAAACGAATCCTCAGGCGTAACTCTGTTTAAACCCCTCACGAAATACCCAAAATACCCTTCCGTTTAAAATTCTCCGTTATGAGTTACCTCATCATCCGTACCATGTCATCTCTCTTCTGTAAGCAAACCGACTTTAGAAACCCAATTCAAAACCCTAGCCCTAAATCAACCGACTCCAACGCAAACCGAATCAAAGCAAAGGGATTAAATTGGACGGCGATTCAACCCCCAAAACAAGCCTCCATGCCGACCACAACGAAAGCAATGACGCCCAATAGTTCAAAATCTCAGAAAGAGCCCAGACAACTGCAGTGCGTACTAAATCTGATGCTGAAGTTGTGATTGCTAATGTTCTAGAGGACATTGCAACCAGCCATTCTTAACCCAGTAGTCCACCTCAAAATTTAAGTGTAGGCCCCCGCGAAGGTCTAGAGGGCAGCACTGGCACCACCGTCGCGTCCAATGATGCCACTAGAGCGCTCCTTGGTCCACAGAGAGGAGAAAAAGAGAAGCATGTGGCAGCACCCAAAATGTAATTTTTACCGCAAGTTTTATGTTAAGGTTATGGTTTGATTGATAATGCTCCTAGTCTGGTGGGAAGGTCTAAAATTACGGGTGTCTGTTAGCTGTTAAGGTTATTGTTAACATGCAAGGTTCATGCTTTTATTGTTGAGGTTGTTGTTTGGTTGTTGAGGTTAGGCTTTGGTTGTTAATGTTAGGTTTTGGTTGTTAAGGTTATGGGGTTGTTGTTAAGGTTGTTGGTTTATCCGTAAAGTTTACAACATTGTTGTTATGTTTACTGATTATACTAAAAAATGCTTATGTCTTGTGTTTTTGTTATGTAGAAAAAGGACAAAGCCAACTATTACGTTGCGGCCCACCGTTAGCTTCAGTGTCTATCATGACTTCATGCGGAGTTTGGTGCAGCATATGGAGCCAATGCACTTTGCAGCCTATGAAGATAGTGTATTCAGACACTACGTCCATTTTGGCCCACCTGGTGTCGATCTTCCTACCTGTGAGCACATTTTGAGTCAGTGGGACAAGAAAAGGAAGAAATTCGTCTTCACCGATAGGAAAGATGGAGAAGAGATCGCCTGCTCATTCGATCTTGAGTGGGTAATGGAGCATACATGGTTCTCCAATGAGGGGCTTCTTGTTGACCACAACCAGGATAGGAAAAATAGGATTTGGTCCAGGTTTTTTAACAAACCCGAGATCGAGGGTGCCACCAGTATAGCTCCCCCCAAAGGAGGCCCCACCAGGCGCAATGTGGAGCAACTGCTCTTGAAGCTGGTACTATCGGCTGATCGTCGAGATGTGAAGGACTTTGTCCTGCTATAGATCCTTTATCAGCTGAGCATGATTTGGTGTCCAAGCAGTGTTTCCGACGTTCCTAGGCATTTATTCAAGTACATTGACAGCATCGAACAGGCCAATAACGTTGTTTGGGGGATCTATATATTTAATGAGACTTCTGACGCAATAGGGAGGGCACTGAAGGGGCCTGAGCTAGGGAAGACGACTTTATATATTCAAGGGTGTACCCCGCTAGTTTGTGTAAGTAATCATGTCTTTTATTACTGATTGTGAAGGTTATGGTTTAGTTGTTAATGTTACAGTTTGGTTGTCAAGGTTACGGTTTGGTTGTTAATGTTACGGTTTGATTGTGAAGGTTACGTTTTTATTGTTAGGGTTACTTATTAATTGTTAAGCATAAAGGTGTTTGTTAAGTTTTTATTTCTTTAATGTGCAGTTGTGGTACTATGAACTTACTGGCATCAAGAAGCCAGCAGTTGGATGTACGATGAGGCCTCCCCTCACAAATTGGGTGAGACTTAGAGAGGTTGCTGGTTCTTTGAGATTGGCCACTGTTGTAACTAAAGAAAGCAAAGCTACGATAAAGCTTCCACAGCAACATGGCGAATTTCAAAGAATCGAGGGAGGTTTGTGGGGGAAGGAGCAGGGGAAAGAGAAAGAGAAGATAAGAGAGAGAGAGAGAGAGAGAGAGAGAGAGAGAGAGAGAGAGAGAGAGAGAGAGAGAGAAGAGGAGTAGACGCCGGCAGGGCGCGTGGCCCAAGACACCTTCTTCACAAGAAGAAGAGGGGAGCAGAAGATGATATCCCAATTGATGCAGATGTAAGAATTTAACAGTTGTGAATTTTATTTGTTTTTTAATTAATTAATCCTTCTAATAATACTCTATCTGTCCATTGTATAAGTGATGCCACATGATATTGATGAAGACGTCGAGTAGCCAAATGAGGCGGTTGAGAAAATAGAATGGCATCAGCAAGTGATCTACTGGAAGAGCATCGCGTCAATGAACCAAGCATTACGTCGAGAAAACGAGAATAAATTCAAGGATATGATTGTTGCCGACCGTGTAAAGATAAGTGCTCTTTCTGTGAAGGTGGCTAAGTTGTCTGCTCAAAATAGAAGACTGAGAGAAAAACTAAGCGAAGCACGATCCAGAACCCTCTCTGTATATAAGGATATGAGGCCTACAGGATTGGTGTCCGGCTCATTGATGGAGCCGCAAACTTGTACAGGTTAGATGTGGCTTGCAATTACATTTACGTGTTATGTTTAAAGATTGATTGTTAAGTATATGGATTTTTTTTAAGGTTAAAATTTTATTGTTAACTTTACGAATCTAATGTTAAGGTTACGGATTAATTACCAAGGTTAGAGATTGATTGTTAAGTATCTGGGTTAGTTGTTAGGGTTATGTAACTGATGCTATGTTTTTTGACAATGAAGTACCTAAGCTCATTTGTTTACTTTTTGAATCAAACACTCCAGGCACCGTGGGTGGCATTGATATACAGTACGAGGGGGGTGTTAATCAATCATTATTTGATGAAGCTAATAAGGAGAACAAGGACCCTCCAACAGTGAGGGCCTCTCCACAACCATTTTTTTCTGATATCAACAAGAAGAGTGAAGATGCTCCGCCGGGGGAAGGACCTCCACCAGAGAACTATCGCATTGATACGGCTCTTGAAGCAGAAATAAACGAGGGAGAGAAGGTATCCCCGCCAGCAAAGGAGCTTCTAGCTTGTACAGGTCAGCTTGCTTTTGCACTATACATTAGAGATTGGTTGTTATGTCTACGTATTGGTTGTTAAGTTTTTGATTATTTATACTCTGAATATTATCAGAAACAGGCACTCAACGCGAGGACACTAGAAGGGGAAATAACGCTGGTGGTTGATGTCCCTTCTGCAGGACATGATACGGAGACGCAAACTTGTATAGGTTAGCAACTTTTTCACCATATGTTTAGGCATTAGTTGTTAGGGTTACTATGAAATTGTTAAGTTTAGATAGATGGGGCTAAGTTTTCTCAATATTTATACTTCGAATGGATTGTTTAGAAACAGACACTCTAAGAGAGGACACTGGGAGGGAAATAAAGCAATCAGAGGATGCCCCTCCACCAGCACCTGACACATCAACTGAGGACGAAGATGTTCCTCTTAGGTTTTCAAAGGCTGTGAATAAGAGAAAGAGGGGTGCAAAGGGGGCACGCGATAAGGTGTAAGTTGGGAAGAGATGCAAAAGATCGGTGAAGCCTTCCAAGTGGGTAGTCACCCCTTAC